GTTTAATTCTGCACAGAGAAAGAGTCTGGTAACTCACAGGCAGAGAAGCACATGAGGGGCGGGACTAGCCAGCTCAAAAATAACCAATCAGAAAAAAGACGGAAAGGCCGACTGTACCGAACAACGCTGTAGTTTTTTAGCAGTAGTAAAAAAAATGGCGTCTGGCAATGGTGCAAACATCTTTTTTCTGGTTATATCCACGCTGAAAGGCGTTGATCAGAATTAGCAGATCACATTTTTTAAACAGAGATCGGGTGCGTGCAGCCATCATGTCGCTCATTACAGCGTCCATGCAGAAACTCGCCTAGCAACTTTTATGTGCTGCACTTAAATCACACAAATAAAAATTCACTATTTAACGGAAAAACTAAAATAAAACGGTGTGCAAGTGGACCGTTATACCCCTGGTAAATAATAGTATATTTTATTGATGAAGCGTAAATGCACATGGAACATTGTAAAAGTTGTGTACTGAACTGAACAGTAGGTGGCAGCAGAGCACTGCTAACACATCTAGAGATGTAGTGTAGAGTTCATGGGACGTTCTGCTGAGGGTTACAAGATGCATGCGTGGCCCTCCTGCTGTAATAAAATTCACATGAGTAAAGTTACTGCCTGCTTTCTACCAACTAGAAAACAAAACAGTAAAAAAGTTATTTTTCTTTCTTTTTTTTTTCTTTGTGAAGAGGGATTTGTCATGATTCATTAAAATCATGACAAATGCCTGGAGTTTTCCCCTTCCAGGAATTATGTATTATTTTTCATAAATATATATAAATTATTTCCTTATGTACTGTAATATAATATGAGAAATATGTATTTTTATTTACTAAGCCCACCCGTCCCATAGAGCTTCATGCAATAGAGAGCTTGAGTCACACCCATCTACTTCTGCACCACGGATCCCCGGGAGACCAAACAATGAATGCAAGTCAACCGGGCTAAAAACGCTATTTTCTAATCTGGCTGTTTTGTGCCATGGATTTCACACATGATGTCCGTGAATTTTAAAGACACCAAGAACGAGCTTATTTTCAAACATGGGGAAAACGCTATTTTAGGTTTTGTGTGAAAATAAGTCCAGGACTATAAATGCACTTCACGAAAGTGACGTCATTGAACAGACACGGAGAAAACTGAGGGAAAAGGGCTGTAAGTTCAGCAAACTTCCCACAGGAGGAAAGAACCACCATAAATCTGGTCATGTGGTAAGTAGCAGCTACGCTAGGGGAGAGGAGATTATGTGGTGATGTCACATATGCGACGTGCCAACATCTAGTTTGTAATCATGCTAATTATTACGAGCTTTTACAAACTGATAAATCTAAAAGTACATGACTCGCGTGGTTGAAACACCCATCCTTACTTTTCATTTAAATTGCAGTACAACATGTGCGATCCAGGGTGTAAAGCAAAGCAGATTAGAAACAGGGGTTTTAGCCCCGTTGACTTGCATTCATTTTTTCGTTCATCCGGGGACCCATGAGCCGACCGGAAAGAGAGGAGACATAGGCTCCCTATTGCTATTGGTTAGTTCAGCACTAGCCAATAGCGTTACAGTACAGCTTACGTGCAGACGTCAATCACAGAGCGTGCTTGAGCCTTCAAGAACGTACCTTGGTTGATGCAAAGTTGGCGACCTTTCTCATGGACAAGTACAGTGGGCTTGGGCAGCACTCTTCGTGATTTTCCTGTATAAATCATTGGTTGCTATGATAAAGTTTTTCAGTTAAATATATCATGTAGGAGACACACAGTGATAACTGAGAAGTGAAACAAAGTTTAGAAGATTTACAGAAAGTGTGCAACAATTGTTTGAACAAAATTAGGCAGGTGCATGGATGTAAAACAGTGTTTTATCTCTGTTTTGTCAGCTAGAGGAGTGCATTCATAAACGAGAGGTGCTGCTTTCAGCCGTAAATACGGAAATGAAACAATGTCTTGGTGTGATACTCTTGTCAGCCACTAGATGCTGCCATCAGATAAAATAAATAATCCAGACATCTACTTTAATTGTAGCTTTAGTTGTGTTTGGAGCACATCCAAATAATGTTTACTTGCAGAGGGTGCAGCATAAGGTTACTTATTGGTTTATAGGGCATACATTTCTCCACAGGGTGGCTTGGCTCAGCCTTAGGGATAGGGTGAGGAGCTCGAACATTCGGAAGAGAATCGGAGTAGAGCCACTGCTCCTTCATATCGAGAGGAGTCAGTTGAGGTGGTTTGGGCGTCTTGTTGGGATGCCTCCTGGATGCCTCCCCAGGGAGGTGTTTCAGGCTTGTCCTGCTGGTAGGAGGCCCCCTGGTCGACCCAGGACACATTGGGGAAAATACTTCTCCAAACTGGCCCAGGAACGCCTTGGGGTCCTGCCGGAGGAGCTGGTGGAGGTGGCCGAGGAGATGACGGTCTGGAACTCCCTAGTCAGGATGCTGCTTCTGCGACCCAGACCCAGAGAGGCGAACGAGACGAGACATTTTAATTTGGGGCGATTACTTCATGTAATAGCAGAGGTAGGGCTAGGTCACTATTTTGCAGGTCAGAAGAACTGTGAATGTTTTCAGTGTTAATTCCTTTAAAGGCCAGAATCCAGAAAGGTTCAATAGTTGCAGATGTTTCATAAGTTTAGATAAAACAATGGAATGTTTCTCATGTGATTTGTAACAGTGCCATTCCTGCTACATCTGTTTCACTGATGATGACGACTGTTCAGGGGTAGTCAGTGGAGTGTGTGCCATCCAATAAAACAGACCAAGCCCAAGTCATATGACTTGACTCCACACCTCTGTCTAGTAGTTAGTATGGTGTCTAAACGTATTCCACTCATTAAACTGATGCATAGAGAATCATTCCAACAACTAAAATGGAACACAGATGTTCTATCAATCCAGTCCAAGTCCACTGAACATATGCACATCCATGCATCAATACAGATCGCTTCATCTTTACATCCCAAGCTCCACCAATGCAAATGTAACCTATGCAGACTATGTAGAAGCTAAAATGTGCACCCACCCGGCATCACTAATACAGATACTGCTGTTTCCTCTTTGTGGTGGTTTCCAGTTTCATTTCTAAAATCTCTTTACTGTGAACCAATAATTACCTACTTGTCTCACAGGAAAATCCATCCCAGCTCACAACTGTCCTAGTGTGTCCAAACCACAGAAGGTAGGACTGGCCTCCTTTACTGTCAGGTATGGATGGGGTTTTATTGTGATGGATAGGTGTCGTTAGGCCAAGTCAGACTGTCTGCTCTGTGAGATGGAAGTCTGTCTGTCTGAAAATAAAATCATTAAATAAGTGATACTCCAAAAAGAACAAGCACAGCATTAGATTAGCATGACTTTTTACCTTGTTTTCTAAATGCGGTCTCATCTAGCTGTCCAAAACAAAGATCTCACAATGGTAAACTAGGAAACTGCTGCTCATAAAACAAGAAGCAATGTTCTGACAGCTGCAGTCAGCAGCTGCACTTCCAATGCCCACAATGTTTTTCCTTTATGTGGGTCTACATGGCTGTCACACATGATCTATTTATCCAGAATGAAAGAGCACTCGGACTTCTCTGAGAACTGTTCAGGAGTTAAGTAAAGGTTGCATCAAGAAGAAAGCAGGTTAATGTACAAACTCACCAAAAGGACCATTAGTTCCCTCCAGCTGAAGCCCCACTTTAACCCTCTGCAGGCAGGCGTTGCAGATTTGCAACGTTAAAACCTACGTACCTAACTCCACATACGTATTTCATGAAGGACTTAGTTGTTTGTCCTTTCATCAAAACTTATTTTGAGCCTGAGAGGGTTAATGTTAAGTAGGATAAATTACTCCAAGTTACAAACCCAACAGAATACACATCGTATGGAAAGGGATCAGCTGGTGAGCATCAGCTGATAGTTTTGTAAAAGCTGTACCCTCCGGATCTTAGAAACAAAACCAACAGGTGTCTGTTCTTACGTCCAGAGAAAACCCACAAATACACTGGGAGCATATGTAAACAGTGCAGAGAGGCTGCAGGGACGGGTTTCCAACCAGCAACCCTCTGGTTGTGAGGCAGCTATGCTACCACCTGCTCCACCATCAGCAGACCAACATAATTCAGATAGATAGTGAATGTAGTTCCGTGACATCACAACTGTGGGAAGCTGCTCCTCCACATTCATCTAACCTCGTTTGATTGAATGCAGGAAAACTCTCACCTCTCTAAATCACAGTTCCTATAAAGAGTAGGCCTGGTGCTTGTGGCGGTGGGTGGCCCAACTGTCAGAGGGTGCTCCACGTTTGAAGGCTGCATGATGTCTGCTCTCACTGTGTCGCCTTCTTCACCATTTACTGTCACTTAAAGGCCACCAGCTCCAAAAGAGAACACAACGCAGACGTGACTCCTCGGTGTGAAGAGCTGTAGCGCAAAACTAGAGCAGAGTTTCTGCTTTCACGTCTGCCGAGCCACTGAAGAGAGTCTATACAGGCCAGATGCTGGCTCACCGTGCTAAAAATAAACCTCACTGCTTGTTGAAAATCAAAATCTAATCCAACTCCTTGGATTGTAGTTTATGAAGGTGTAGGTGTGCGCAGGTGTGCCTTGAACAAATTTGGATTTTGCTGTGACACAATTCAGAAACGGTTTTAACAGCGAGCTACGAGTAAAGTTCCACCTTCAGTAAGAATGTAAAAATAAAACACAAGCTGTGCATCAAAAGTTCTCCAGATCAAGTGAAATCCACTTAAACATGGAGGAAAAAATCCCCAAACCAAAATAAAACTGAAAGCGAGCGTTCTAGCAGCAGCATCACTGCAGCACATTCTCTTTCCAAATCCAGACAAAAGCCTCTGAGATTAGTTTACAGCAAAAGCCCGCTAACAAGAGAGAACGGACAGCCTCCAGCAGAAGGTAAAACACCCCCTGCAGCATTCAAAGGCAGTAAATTGTTATTGATCGATATTCTGCTAACAGACCAGCTTATTTATCAAACTCACAGAGTTATTGGTTTAAATCTGGCTTCAGCAGTAACACCATGCATGTTTCTGACTCGGTAAGTCCACCTGAAAGACGCTATGGGACCTGAAAGTTGGAGAAAAGTGAACGAGTGAGAGGGAACAAAAGGTTTTTGTAGAGGTTTTGGTGGCGAGCTGTGTGTGTTTTTGTAGCTTCCTCTTCTATACCCCCGCAAACAGAAGTACCGTAAAAGGGAGGGAGAAAGAAAGGAGGGAAGGCTGGTTAAGTGAGTGTGTAGTACGCCTTTCTCTCTCACTTCTCTGTTCTTTAAGAGCTTTACCACTCCAGCCAACATCCTGGAGCAGGCCACTCTTCCCTCTGCTCTCTTCCAGACCCATGCATGGACTCCAGCAGCTTGAAAAGGCGACCCTGCAGCGAGCAACTTTTTTTTTTAGAAGGGAGATAAATGTTTGAAATCTGCTGCTGGCTTCCTGGGCAGAGCCACATGTGCCGGGTGAGTGGTGGAGTTAGAGAACAATCCTCTGTTTCCTGAGTGTGTGTTTTCTGTCTGCCCTCATGCAAAGCAGCGGGAGCTTGAATTGGCCTCCAGAGGACTTTTGATGCAACGGCACAGAGGAAGAGTAGCCAAATAAGGACAAGTAAAAAGTTATAAAACAGAGAGTGGAGCAGCAGGAGTTGGATTGAAAAAGCAGAAACAGAGAAATCTAGTAAGGAGTTTCTGCAAAAGGACTCGTCCGTTTCACCAGGTGGTGCAGCCTCCTGCTTCAGCCCACCCCCTCTTTCCCCCGTTTCTCTCTATTTTGACTTTGCCCTGACATGGGCCGCCTGCTGGCCCTGTCCCTCGCCTACCTGGCCTACCTGTTGGCCTCTTCACTTGCATCACAGCGCCAGCAGCACCACATGCAGCACGGCCCCTGCAGCTACACCTTCATCCTCCCAGAGGTGGACCACTGCCGGCCCTCAGAGGCATACCAGGTGACCAATACCCTGCAGAGGGACTCTCCACCGGAGGCTGAGCATGACCCCAGCCAGTCCAAGCAAGGTCAGGCTCAGGGGGAACGGCCCTCATGGCAGCAGAAGAAGCTGGAGACTCTGGAGAGTGCCATGGAGAATAACACACAGTGGTTACAGAAGGTAAGTATTGGCTTCTTCTTCTGCTCCATATCTAAAGCATGTAGACCTTCAGCTGGAAAACAAAGCATCTCTACAGAGCACAACATCCTCTTCCATTTGCTGACAGAGCATCATTATTAAGAAGCTTCAGCGCTCAGCGTGGATGCTTCCTGTAGAAATGTTTGGCTCTGTGACATTCACTTGTGTATCATTGTGTCAGGATTAAAAACCTCAGCCTGCAACAGGAATGAGCCAAACATGTCACACACACACACACACACACACACACACACACACACACACACACACACACACACACACACACACACTCACAATCAGAGGCAATGAGTAAACAGCATGTGTAAGCCAAGGTCAGCTCTGTACTCAGCTCAGGTTACATCATAATTCATTTCAGAGGGAAAAGCTGTTTATTCTAGGAGACACATTTGGATATTTGCTGTTTTATTTAGTTGGATTATTAAGTGACATTCACAGTAAAGGTTCCAACACCATGGTCATCTGGGCACAGAGTCAGGGTTGGGTCAATGGGAGGGCAGACTCCCCACACCCGTCTCTCCATTCTTCTCTGCATCCCTCATAGAATATTTATGGTACACAGCAAACCCCTCATTGGTTATAACACTTTGTGCCAAGAGCTGAGTTTGACCAACGGTGAACAAATAATGGTGATTTTCTTGCCACCATCTGTCCCAGTTTGGTTTTCGATCACCATTCCAGTTTTGGCTTCTTTCCCCTCCATCCCCTCATGTCAGCATGTGTCCAGTAGCAGCATCTTATCTACCAAAAACACTCATTTAAATATGAACCCACAGACCTTCTCTGTTGCATTTATGCAAAACCCTCTGTGGGCCTGAGAGAAGGACACTGAATACACACTATTTACTCAGGCGCATGGATGCAGAAAGCCAATACACACTATCATGTGCCCTTTCTGAGCCTTTCCGACCCACTCTGTGTGCTTTAAATTTCCCAGCAACTTGACATGAACCATTTGGCTGAATATGAAATCATCCACATTTGTGCAGATTAGTGTGTTTACTCTAAACAAACTAGTGACATAAGCAGTTTTAAAAGGTGGTGTAGTTTAAACTCCCCCTTCTACCTAGAGAAAACCTGCACAGACACACTTCCTGCTGCCTTCTTCTTTCCCAAACCGTCTGGAATGAGCACACAGATTCAACCTAACAACAAGTTAACCCCGCCAGGCCAAAGCGATGCATAAATAAAGGTGGGACTTCCACATAAACACAGCCTGACCCCAGAGAGACTCTTTCAGTTATGCACGAGAGTGCACCGATCTTTGACCCCAGACGGCAAAGCCGTTTCAGCACCTCGTGAGGCTCATTAAGCTTATCTGCATGAGGGTTGGGAGAGCTGCATGCAGTGTATGTGGAAGAGCTTAAGGCGTGTGTGTGTTGGTGTCTCTGTGAAACTTAACTCGGTTTCCCTCAAAGCTCCCATGGGATGCAGCGACCCTCTCTGTCAGCCTTCAACCCAAACCCCTTGAAAGGAAACACGCCCCCACACATGCAAAATTAAGAGCGCCCACTAATCCACCATGTTCTCCAGTGGAATCTCCCAGGACTCTGCTAATGCTCCAAATTCCCTCTTTTGTGTCTCCAAGAAGGAAACATGTTCATATTTCTTTTGGGCTAAACCCTGACACAATCTTCCATCTTGTCCCTGTAGCCTTGTGCTGCCCTGAGGGCTTGGAAATGAGACTGCTACAGTCAGGGATGTTTTTTCGTTCTGAATTCATTCTGTCACTCTCACAGGGTGTCATCCACAAGCACGGGAAGCACATTAGGACTGGTCATAAACAAAAGAGAGTCCTGTTAACAGAAATCATCAACATTAAAGAGCAAGTCACCCCCTACCAGATTGGTACTTAATGGGCTCGACACACAGGAGGCGACATCGCCTCTCCATTCATTTTCAATGAGACATGCGCGACAAAGCGATAATCGCGGGTCTCCCTCCTACCAAGCGAAACGCGAAAAACATGCGTGTGAAATTTTGCGCTCGTGCACAGGCGACCCAGCGACGCGATCCCAGAAAGTTGAAACTGTTTCAACTTTTCATCGCTGTCGCTCGGACGAGGACCAATCAACGGAGGTTTCATTCACTGACCAATGAGCGGACAGGATGCTCCATACATCTCCAAGCAAACATGGAGGAGAAGTTGATTATTATTATGTTTTATAGTAAAATCACAAGTAAGATTTCACATAACTCTAGCAGCACCTTGTGAAACATCATATCTACCACTTTTTTAACTCTGAACCGTTTAAATGACCTTAATTCCCTCCAACCTGACACAGCCAAACAAAACAACAGAAGTTTCGATTTCGCCATGGAACAGAATGCGTAGACGGCTTTGCCGCTGGCCGCTGCTGCGGATCGCCTCCCGTGTGTCAGGTAATAAAAGCGACGGCGACAAATTTCGCTGATCGCGGTCGTTTGTCGCCTCCCGTGTGTCGAGCCCATAACTCCCACTTCCTGTTTCAAAAATGCAACAAATGCTGTTGCCTAGCAGACCGAGAGGGTGGAGCCGCTAACAAATACACACACTCACGACATTGTGACATCATAATGTACCATCTAACATCAGTGTGTACCCCTTAGCCAATAGCGACGGCAGATTTAAATTCAAATGCAGTGCTGAGTTTTTACCTGACGACAGTGCAACACTGACAGTTTTAGACAGAATGTTAAAATTTTAACCAAGATGCACTAAAGTGCAGAATTATTGACTACACTTGTCTACAGCACGACCAGACACTCATTCATATTAGTTTATCAGCAAAAAAACTGTTGATTTGGAGTGACTTGCTCTTTAACAGAAATATTGTTTCGAGTCTAAAAACTAAGAAAGTTTGAGAAACGATAAACAAGCCAAGTTTCTAAGTAAAAGAAATGAAAGTGGCCATTAGTGGCCGGTATTTAACAGCCTTGTTATGCTAGATTCTGACATCTTGCCAAACTGTCAACAGCAGCTGTTCACAGTAGCATGCAGTTCTTGAATGAGGATTTGTAACTGATGCAGACATCACACACTGTCATTTTTACCAGACCTGTGCAGAAGGTCCAGTCATTCGTGTAACAGGAATGTTTACTATCTCTCGTTGTTTTCTGGTTATCTCAGACTGCTCTGTTAGCCATGTGGGTTAGGGTTAGGATGTGTTAACCCTAACCCTATCCGAAGGCACATGGAACTTAATGGCAGCATTATTTCAGGGGTTTAGAGGAAGTCATGTTTCATGAGTTGGGACTTTGAGGACTACTCTGAACGATGGTGGACGTTGGGATAATAGTTCAGCCTGTAGTCAGGCACCTTGGGATTGTTATCTAGAGAGGTGCTATTTACGGGAGAAAACATGTCTGTCTTCTACACTACAGTCCTGGTTGTTGTTGTTGCTGTTTTCTTCAACATTTTCACTTTTCTTTTGTATTTAGGATTCGATTAGACTTTGTAGGAATTTTCCCGGTTATTACCACGGGAGCTGATAGCTGGGTTACTGTAGATTATTTATTCTTCTAGATTCATGTTTATTAGGGGTTAGGGTTAGGGTCCCATGCCACTTTGTTTCAGCTCTTCTTCTATCTGCCCATGAGTCTGCCTGCTCTCTAACAGCCAGCCTCCCTGTAGTCCTTTTTTCTCAGCTTATGTTGACTTATTTTCCCAACTAAGCTAACATGCATATGTTTTCTCTGTGGGTGGAAACCAGAGTGCTCAGAGAACAGCCCCACATGCATGGAGAGAACATGCTTCCCTCCACGCAGAAATGCAGCAGTCAGGATTCAAACCTGCAGCAGTCTTTGTTCAGATCCACCTGTTCACCCCGGTCCAGTTCCTCGTGTTTCACTGCGCCTCTTGGTCTATGAGACCAAGCACATTGTTATTAAACCACTCCCACCTTTGCCCGTTTGGGTCCTTACCAAACTCTGATTACTAGAAGTGTCTGTGTTCGGGGCATCTCGCTCAGCTGCCTTCCAAAAATGTTTCAACGAAGGTGAGTAAGACATGTGAGAGTCCAGCTCTGGAAGAGAAGAATCAACGTAGGTATGGGTAGTTAGATTAGACTGGACTGTTTGCTTCTAGATTTATTTATATACATAGTTTAATCCTATTAGTCAGTTAAGACCGGTCACAAACGTGGTTGGTTTGGTGGCGATCCATCTAGACTGTGTGTTTGGGCCCTCCAGCTGCTGGAACAGGTGTGGACTGAGCCAAAACTAGAACGAAAAAGTGAAAAATCAATGCAATCCAATAATTCGCATTAGTGTTTGTTCTAATCACGCCCATCCTAATGTTCCTCCATCTATCACGGTCGTTTACCCAGCAGATGTTTCTGGCTTTTGTAATTATGACCGAGAACACATGCATCTGTCGGCTCAATAATTAGGATATCACACGATGATCTGAGCGCTGATCCCTCCTCTGACCCTCTCAGACACGATGCAACAGAATTACACATCAGGAAAGGGCTTCGTCTGCCCACGTGTGCAGCATGTGATGTAGCAGCAATTAATACAATTGGAAAGAAGAGATGAAGCGTATCAAGACCTCTGGATTCAGCTACACAAAGACCGTAATAGGAAGGCTTTGCAGGCGCTTGATAGCGGCTTGAATGCATCAGATTACGATGCAGGGATTGTTGAGTCCTCCTGTAGAGATGGTTTTAATCCGCTCACTAGTCTCTCTACAACATTGGTGGCTAGATTTAATTTTTCCATCTTGTTTCAGGTCTAAACTAGCAAAAGGAACAAAGAAGAGAAGTGAAGTAGGAAGAACGGAAGTTCAGAAAGGACCAAACAGACAGAAAGAAGGATCAAATGATTTAAGTGTTGGATAAACAGAATTTCTCACTTATGTTAAGAAACAGAAAAGAACTGAGTTGACTTCCGCTCTGTTTTTGTGGTCAGCGACTCATTAGCTGGATGATTTTCAGCTCTTTCTCCTCCGAGACTTCATTTTCCAGTTGTGCGGTTTAATGAGTAAAGTACGATCTCTTTCTCCCACAAGACGTATAAATATTAATGGTCTCCCACTGGATCGTGCTTTATAACAAACAGCATTCTATTATTTACTGCAAGAACAGGGAAAATCGACTTCCACTCTGTTTGATTAAGCAGACCACATTATTTGCAAATCTGTTTATCGGAGGAAGATGACTGCCTTCGTGTTCCGAGACCTTTTAGGCGTCTCACAGTGTAGGCGACTCTCCCTGTAGTCCTACACACGAATATCAGATGGTTTCAGTCTCATCCCAAAACACCCACTAAAACACTTCCCCCAATTTAATATTGTTAAGAGTTAGTGTCTGCCTGAAATGGAGGCTTTAGAAATAGACGAGAGACAGGGGAAGTTCTCCAGAGACCCTGAGTTTTATGATTCCATTACAGTGCCTGAGACGACTGGGAGGGAAAAGTGCCAATGGCTTGATGGTGGCCCCTTCCATGTCACATCAAGTTGTATCTGAGAGGAGAATGATGTTTCCTCATGGATCCATTTATCAGGGTCTGTTTTTTGTTCTTCTAGCTGGAGAACTTCATCCAGGAGAATGTTCGCTCGGGTGTGGAGGAAATAAAACGGTCCACAGTCCACACTCAGACTGCCGCCATGCTGGAGATGGGTACCAACCTCCTCAGCCAATCAGCAGAGCAGACTCGCAAACTGACAGATGTTGAAACACAGGTGAGTCCATGGAAAAGAAAGTATAGTTCACACACACACACACACACACATACACACACAGGTGCGCGTTTATAAGTTATATTACAAGAATAAAATCCATAAAGGCAGCATTATTAATATTTACATGGAAGTAGCCGAAACATAAAACCTCGTATCAACAAAACACCTAATTATTTCTGGTTCTCCAGTAGAACCTCTCAGAACTGGGGGTTACAATGATATCAAAAACAGAACAAAGCGGGCCGTGCTTGTTCTGTCATTTCCTGCCACATATCTCTTCTAAACACTTTTACTTTGAAATGTCCGTTTGTTTTGTGTTTTTCTGTCACAGGTTCCCGAGACTTCCAATAACTGTTATCGGAAATTTGTCGAGTAAATATTTATGATTTGTTCAAAATGCCAGTACCACCAGTGAATCTTAGCACGCGTGTGAAGGAAACCCAGGTTGTGGCCAGCACTTCCAGCTGAAAGCAGCACTGGCTTTGTTTGGCCGTTAAAACCATGTAAAGGTGATGAAACAGTCATGACACAACTAGTTAGCGCATAACAGATGCTAGCTTAGTGGTCTAACCACTAAACCATTCCAGGTTCTCAAACGTCGACACAAACAGGTGAAATATAAACATAGACGCTTTGAACAGCAAACCATCTGAACCGCAGCTTTAACGTTGGTCGAGACCCTTTGTTTGCTGCCAGTCCAGATGGAAAGCTGTGCAGGTCACACCCAAACAAAAGCAAACAGCTCTCTAGGAAAACTCTGCTGAGTAGATAATTAAATGTAAATCAGAAGCAACCTGTTGGAAAGCTGGGCCCAAAGGTGACGGCCAGCTGCTTCTAAACAGCCGGTGTTTGGTTCTACGGTCTGTGATTGACACGGCGAGCCCGATGCAGCGACTGACAACGGGCCAATTAAAACATAAAGCTCAGAAGCACAACACAGATGTGTCTTCAATCAGGCCACATGCTTGTTATTACAGACTGGGCTGTTTTTGGTCCTGATGCTTTCTTTTTCTCTTATCAAAAATGTGCAACCTGTACAAATATCCAGCCACTGAGTTCCTCTGTTTCATCTTTAACTTCAAAACATGTCATCAGAGGTGCTTATGAGATCATCCTCACTTAAGTCTTGATTACAAGATCAAAGAAGCTAAATTATGGGATTTGGGTTGTGTAGCACCGATATTTATCCCCCAGGGTCTTTTGTTTCTTCCTCTTTTAAACTATTTATCCCTCACTCATCCTTCTGTCGGTCTATTCCACTTGTTTCTGAGATTTTTATCGCTCCATAGGTGTTGAACCAGACGAGTCGCCTAGAGATCCAGCTGCTGGAGTACTCGCTCTTTACAAACCGTCTGGAGAAGCATATTCTCCTCCAGACTCAAGAGATCTCACGACTCAGCGATAAAAACAGGTGAGAGCACTTCAAATGAAGAGGGAGCAAAGTGATTTCTTTGAGGACGATGGATGGGGGGTGGTTCCAAAACACTTAATGGTTAGATGAGGGGTTAAGCAGCAGCAGGACTGAAGGTTAGCCTCAGGGTGAGTCTGGAGACGTCTCAGTCCTGTTGTGCTTTTATTGCTGCTGCTAGGTGCGCTCCTCACCTGTGCTGAAGCTGTTAGAGCCGTATATTTGTTCTTTCAGAGGTCGGTGTGTGACCTGGATGGGACATTTATACACAATAGCCACTTCAGTAGTTAGCTGTACAGATTCAAACGCTTGTTGACACAAGTAGCTGATCAGCCAATCATAGGAACTCAATGCGTTTAGTCATCTAAATAGAGGTGAGCATCAGAAAAACTGAGGTGTTGGTGCCAACCATCTCTGGAGTTTACAGAGAATCCAAATCTGTTTTGTTTGTAAAGCACTGATAACAAACACCAACGAGCTGTAAGAGCATGTGCAAAAGAACTGAACACTACAGTGGAAACATTATGAGAGTCACAGTAAAAACCAATCACAGAGCAGAGAACAATGGTGAGATATAAACACAGTAAGAGAGTCAGCCTGTTCCCCAACCCGGGGCCAGTCACCGAAGCGCCGTCTCCTCTGCTGTTGTGTTTCATCTGGGGAAGAATGGTCAAAAAGAGAAAATATCCAGGTTTCAGCAGTTCTGTGAATGAAAATGTCTTGTTGAGGTCAGAGGTCAAACTGGTTCTAGATGATACCAGCAGCTCAGATCAGCTCTGGTTCCTACCAAGGTCTGCAGAACCACTCCAGCTGCTCCAGATGGACTCCAGCACTAGGTGTGTCTCATGTCAGCTAAGATCAGGAACCTGAGAATACGACTCACACAGGACCACCAGAGTTGGACCACAGGAAACATCTTTCCTGGTCTGATGAGTCTGGAGCTCAGCTGCATCCTAACCCTAACCCATCTTCTGATGCTGCTTCCAGCAGGATCACGCACCATGTCACATGCATGTGAGTTCACTGGACTCCAACGGCCTCCACAGTCACCAGATCTCAGTCCAGTTCAGAACCTTTGGGATGTGGTGGAACGTAAGGTTCTCATCATGGATGGAGCTGATGCTGTCATGTCAGGATGGACCAGAACCTCTGAAGACCAGAACCTGTGAGGACCAGAACATCTGAACACCAGAACCTCTGAAGACCAGAACCTCTGAGGACTAGAACTGCTGAAGAACGGAAATCTGAAGACTAGAACCTATTAAGACCAGAACTTTTGAGGACTAGAACATCTGAAGACCAGAACCTCTGAGGACTATAAACTCTGAAGATTTGAACATCTGAGAACTAGAACCTCTGAACACCAGAACCTCTGAAGACCAGCACCTCTGAGGACTAGAACCTCTGAGGACTAGAACCTCTGAAGACCAGAACCTCTGAAGACCAGAACCTCTGAGGACTAGAACTGCTGAAGAACGGAAATCTGAAGACTAGAACCTATTAAGACCAGAACTTTTGAGGACTAGAACATCTGAAGACCAGAACCTCTGAGGACTATAAACTCTGAAGATTTGAACATCTGAGGACCAGAACTGCTGAGCACTATAAACTCTGAACACCAGAACCTCTGAGGACCAGAACCTCTGACGACCAGAACCTCTGAGAACCAGAACCTCTGAGAACCAGAACCTCTGAGAACCAGAACCTCTGAGAACCAGAACCTCTGAGAACCAGAACCTCTGGGGAATGTTTCCAACACACTGCTGAATCTGTGACAGCAGGAATTCGGGCTGTTCTGAAGGAAAAAGAAGGACCAGCCGGGTGCTGGCAGCATGTACCTAATAAAGTTGCCTACAAACACTCTTCAAAAAGCAACTCTGTTCACTTTTCTCTCCAGGAACATGGGGTCAGCTGAGTTGAGGACAGGGTGAAAGGGAGCGAGTGTTTCCCCTCTTTGTATCCGTCTCTTTATCATTCCATCCGTCTGTGTGACCAGTGGAAATCACGGTGCCCCGGGACCAGCACCTGTTACATGTTTGGTCCTCCGTAACCCCACGCTGACCTCTAACCCTCATCCTTCATGGTGCTGACATCTAAACAAATTGATACATGTTGACAAAGGTCAGCTCAACCACACGTTTCATGAGAGCCGTTGCAGATTTGTGTCTGAGGAATGAAAACAGAAATAGAAGCAGCAGCGGCTGGAGGAGGCTACAGCTGCTGAGCCGCTGGGGCATGAAGCAACGTTTTGGACCACTGCCAAGCTAAAAAAAGGCACACGCTTGTTTTCACAGGGATTATGCGTACAATTGTACTGGCAGGAAGCAGAACACACAGCAGAGAGCTAGCTTCGTATACGAAGCATATTAAAGCAATAATAATAAATAGCTTAATATCATAAGCATAACAGTCTAATAGCTCAGGAGGCAAAGTGATTCAACACGGCGTGTTTGTTCTGTCAGCCGCCCTAACTGTTTAAACACTGCTCTGCTGGGTTTATGCCATGTTCCACACTTTGATTGATCCTCTAAATAAAACACACACCACGACAAAGACTGTCAGCTTGCTTTACAACTTTAATTGACTATTTCCCCTGCAAAGCAAATAGGAGTTGGAAGTGATGTAAAAAATGATTTGGATTGATCCTCCAGTCCTCACAGGCCACAGACTAAGCTGCCCGCTGAAGAGGGAGATTGAGGATCCATCTGGAGCTTCTGGTTGCCTCACGTGCAGCTCCAGAGTAGCTTGTTCAGTCAGGGCAGTTGGATTGTTTCAATAAATAACTGATGCAGAGCCATTAGTAAAAGTCGTAAAGGTCAAGCTTCAGGGATTTATTATCTTCATTTAGAGGCTGGTGTGTGCCACTGCTGCACACACACACACACACACACACACACACACACACACACACACACACACACACACACACACACACACACACACACACACGCACGCACGCACGCACACGCACGCACACACACACACTGTCAGGTTGTTGCCTCCTGGCTATGATGAAGCATCTTAACATGCTGAGCCATCTGTGAGCGCTGCTCGGGTACAGGTGTTTATATGATGTCAGCCCAATGAGACAGGTGGGATGATAGCATCTGAGAACAACACACACCTACTGATTTACACAACAATGACTTATGGCTAAGTGTGATTTGTGAGGGATGTGCTAGATGGATGGGTTTAGTGGGTCTGGGATTCAAAGTGATTGGGGATTCCCAGATTTGTTGTATGAGTTGCAGGGTTCAGGTCTTCCGGGAGGATGGCAAGTCGGGAAAAGAAACCTGTGACAGGAGGGTTTGGTCAATAATGAAATTTCCAAGTTTCTTCTGGCTCTTGGAGAGTACAGACCCTTTTTTCCTCCTCTCCATCCTATCTTATCCCAAGGCTCTTTGTCTGTCTTTGGGTGCATGGTGCTTCTGCATTTTTTCTGGAAACTGGAAATTATTAAAATGGACTTGGTCAGTTGGTCTCTCAACGCGAATGACACATTTTTTTCGACGATGAGAACGGGAGAAGGGGCTCCCGGTTGCCCCTCTGAGACAGAGCCAGCTGGGCATATCATGGACTCTTCGAAACAGTGGAACCTGATCTGCCCCTCTCAACAAAAACAAATGTGGAATGCTGCCGTCACCATGGCAACCCTGTCTCCCTATGCCAGCCTGGGCGGGACTGCGACTGGTGAAGGCCGTTGAATCTTTTCCAGGAGTCACTGTGCTCTCCAACACAATTACCTCCCACCCCTGTCCAAACGGAGGTGAGGAGCGCTGCTTATCGCGGCTGCATGCACTGATGTGTGGAGAGTCCCCAACCCTACCGCCCCACCTAGTGGACACTTATGTTGTGTTATGTCTGAAGTCTGTTGCATTTCTGTCTGAGGTGTTTTTTGCATAGCAAAGCTGCCCTCCCTGTGGAGGGTAACTCTGAAATGCTTGTCACCAATGGTCACAGCCTAATGAGGCAGTATCCTCACACGTGAAATGCTTGTGTTCAGACACGTTAACGTTTCATGTTATTCCTCCTTAGTTTTCTGGAACAGAGGCTTTTGGCGCTCGAGGCTCGGTATGGCAAGGAGCTCCAGGGTCTGCAGAGTGAAAAGCAGCAACTTCAAGATCTTCTGGAGCGGCAGAGTAGTCTGGTGACCCAGCTCCAGGGTGAACTTGGAAGTTCTACGCTCAACAGCACTACGCTACAAAAACAGCAAGCGGTGCTCACAGACACGGTTCAGCAGCTGTTGGCTAAAGTCAGTCAGTGCAATGGTAAGACTTAGTGAGTTTATTATGTTTGTGTCAGCACACCATCGGTGCTGAGAGATCCTGCATGTGTGCTGTAGCTGATCTGCAGCATCTCAGACGTGCTGCAGAGATATTTACTCTGAACACACCACAGAGTGACAGCCCACACTTAGATCTGTTGTTTTTCTGTTTCTGTAGAAATCTCCGACGTTCCCAGGAAGAAGTCACTCACTTTCAGAGACTGTGCAGACATTCTACGATCTGGGGTGAAAGAAAGTGGAGTGTATCCCATTCATCTGTACAACACCACCCAGGATGTCAAGGTAGTCAAGCACTGAGACCCTCTGACACCAGGCCTTAATGCCACTTTATTAGAAAATACTACACTGGTTCTCCAACATGATGGTGGTGTGTTGGGGGGGGGGGGGGGGGGGGGGGGTACACACGAGGAAATGTGAGGCAAAACAATCAGGAGGCAAGAAGAGGGACCATGAGGGAGTGTGTGATGGCTAACAGTCTCACCCTTTTCTCTTTCTCACTGCCGTGTGTCGGCCCTACAAGGCCCCCTTGTGGCTCGGGGGCCCCTAAGCCATTGCCTGCTCTGCCTGCTGACATGTTAACACAGCCATACATGAGTGATGCTGATGTTGTTAAATCAGTCTGGAGATTTCCCAGCTGTCGGCCTGATTTGTTGCCTTAGAACAATGCACAGCAAATGCTCGATCTGATTTATTTTTGTCACAGTAATACCTGACTTGTCTCATCAATCTGAACGTTGGGGAAGCCTCAGAAACCCCAGAGCTCCAGGGAGGAAGTTAAAGGCCATTGGCCTTTTCCTACAAATACCACCGGAGTGACATTGACGTGCAGCTTTTTTATGAGATCCACTGACCTTTTGCCTGCTTGTATCTAATGTTGGAACAAGTTTCATTCACTGTATCAGCGCCACAGGCTTCTCTAAGACACACAGGTGGTGTAATGACATTCTGCAGACTTATCGATAAATCCAGGAAGGAAAAACTAACTTTGATTTTCAAGGTGATTGCTGATGCTTTGCTACAGAGTTAGATGGCGATGCCACGCTGTGTTACGGAGGACAACATGTGCATTATGGCCTGCAGGCTTCGTGGTGAGTGTGTGCTTCTGAATGCAGAATGTGAGAACCCTCAGAGGAGCCTGGACTGATCTGAAGGATCTGCTAACTCAACCATGACATCCACCAGCAGGCTATCATTTCTGTAAATCACATCTAGCCTTCTTGGACTGAATCTTCGCCATCGCTGCAAACAGCAGAAAAAAAACCCAGAAACAGCTTTTTGTTATGCATTACTTTTAGTCTAGTTTACTGCTGGCAGCTTCTCCTCCTGCCTGCTGTGTTCCCAAGTTCCTTCCCTTCATTTACTTTGGGCAGGCAGGTGTTCGGCACTGGTGCCATATGTTTGCTGCCAACTGGGGCCAATGCACATTTCCACTGATACCAGTTAGGATTCCCCAAATCACGGATGCTTTCAATCCATGCCAGTTCCACTGTCAGTCCAATCCCGGTGATGCTGGCGAGGCGGGTGGTGTGTGTGTGTGTGTGTGTGTGTGTGTAAAATGGGGCAGAAACAAATTGGCCTATTTTCTCGGCTGAGAGCAATTTTTTTAGTTTGACCGAAAACAAAAGGATTACACATTCAGGGTTATTTTTATTCAGGCGTTTTTCCATCTGCAGAGTTTGAAGTCATGTAGATTACAAACCGATCACCACAAACAACATCATTTGTACCGTGAACCTGCTTCCTAGTAAAACTTTTACTTCTCTCTTACATAAGAGCTGCATGTGAGCCCAGGGCTCATAAAGGGAACTGCCATGATCTTTTCTTGTGGTACATTTTATTTAACCGCTTTTCCTGGATACTATTAATACCTGCACAGACTCGTTTCCTACAGAAAGGATTTTGAAGAATCCACAAAAAGCCAACTAGTGAATTTTGACGTGGAGTTAGTTGTATCATCTAGTGCAGAAAACAAAAGCAGGCAGCTAAACGTGATCACTACCACTGTCTGATAACACAGGTAAACTCTTGTGAACCTTTGCATGGATTTGAATTCCATCTTAGAAAACCATCATTTCCTGTATAACTGATTACCCTTTAAACTCTATACTATACGAGACGGTTGTATGTCATGTCTCAAAGTTTTTATTGAATTAAAACAAGAACATCTGAAAAAAAAATGGATTAAAACACTCGTCAGTCGACCACACTGTTTAGTGTGACACCCACTTTGGAGCTCCATCCTTTACCTTCCCAGTGGCAGCACACCTCCATATCATGAGGTGGGGAGACGGTGGAGTGCTGTTCTGTGATTTTAGAAACCTTGCTGACCCTCAGTGCTTCACCACCACCAGGCCATGGTCCTTCCTGGGTTAAGTCTTGTGGCACAACTCCCGCCATTGTTGGATTTAGGGGTCGTACACCTTGCAGACACTGGTGACAAACCGAGAAAGTCTGTTGCAACTGAGTCCTCTGCGAACATAGCTGAGCCCATTGAACTCCACAGATTCATGGCAGCAGTGTGCCTTAAACATGTTTTGGAGGAGGAGCGAACGCTGGTGTGTCTGTCGCCGCTGCTCTCCAGCAAAACGTTTTAACTTTTTAAACTATTACATTTTTAAACTTTTAAAATATTTTTATTAGTTGTGCAACACTGGATGCTGCTTTTAATCAGTTCTCGTAACTATTATATTGATAACTGATGCTTGCTAGCATCTTTGGTCTCTCAAACTGTTTGTTTGTAGCCAACGATGGGTTCTGGGCAGATTCTTACCTGGCCCACTCGTCGCTCTCCTGTCATGTGTTTGTCATGTGGATTTTCCAAACACTGCAATGGTTTGCTGTCAGCTGGCTTCTCCTATCTCTCGTCCACCTGCCAGCAAGGGCTCTCCTGCAGTACCCAGCTGCTGAACTTCTGAAACTCCGGCGCCGCATCTCCATTCAGCAGCCTGGTTCCGACATCCCTCCTGTCATCACATTCCAGCCCCGTCGGAGATACATTAATCGTGGATCACGTCAAGGCTCAACTCACTGCAATAAACCTGACTCCACATAACCTGACTCCACATAACCCATCTGGTTCTCCACTCGCCGCCGCTCCCATAAAATCACCTGGAATATCAACCACCATGTCCTCTCCAGCCTGCCCAGCTCTACTAACTCCTCCACCCACAGGACGTCTACCATGGTCAGCTGCGGTCTCCTCAAGGCCTGTTCTCTCAGCAGCAAGGGCCATCTCGTCAGAGACCTTATCCTGGACCATAATCTCGAATTCTTATTTTTGGTTGAAACTTGGCAGCAGCCAAATCACTTCATCCCTCTCAACGAGTCAGCTCCGCCGGGGTTTGTTCACATCTGTCAGCCTCGCACTGCCGGCTGAGCGATATTTCACCGCGAGAGTTGGAAACTGATGCCGATACCTGCTGCTCCTGTGTTCTCCTCCTTCGAGTTCTCTGCCTCCCTGCTGCCCGGATCATCTCCCACGACTTTAGCCGCCATCTACCGCCCTCCTAAATATAACAAGGACTTTTAAAATGATTTTTCAAGCCTACTTTCTTACTTTTCATCCCAGTCTCAAAATATAATCATCCTGGATGACTTCAATATTCATGTGGACAATATTAATGACACATTTCTAAAAAAAAATTATCCTGCCTTGAAAGCTCCGGACTCAAACAACACATTAACTTCCCTACCTGCTGTAAAGGTCCCATCCTGGATCTGGTCTGCTGCTCTGGTATCTCTCCAACTGACTGTAAATCTCACCTTGTCCCATACTCTGATCATCTACTCATCACCTTTAATATCAACCTGTCTGTCCAAAATCATCATTCCTCACACTATTTCATTCCGTAATATCAAAAATATAAATGCTGACACTTTTTCTCTTGACATTAATAATCTTCCCAGTCCCAAAGGCAACTCTTCAGCTGATGACCTGGTCTCCCACTACAACAGCAACCTCTCCACCCTTCCGAATAACCACGCCCCTCTGAAAACCAGATCTGTTTTGTTCACCCGCTTGTCACCATGGTTCACCCCTGCTCTCCATCAGCTCAAAGCTAAAGGACGTCAACTGGAAAGACTTTATAATAGAACTGGACTTGCCATACACAAAGAAATGTACTCCAACCATATAATGCTCTACAAGGACCATCTCTCATCAGCTAAATCTGCCTATTATTCTGGTTTAATTCACCCTAATTAAGATAATTCAAAAACTCTTTTTTTCTCTCTTGAACAATATCAGAACCCCCCCCCCCATCATCTGCAATCCACTGACTTCTGTAACTCCCTCATGTCCTTCTTTGTTTCAAAAATCCCCAACAGCCATCAACATAGCTTCCCACAGTGCTTCTGTCTCCAAAGTGGACATCACTCTCCCCTCTCCACATCACTCAACAACATTTCCACCTTCTTCCTTCCCTCAGTCCATGACACAAAACGTATCCTCAGATCCAAACCCTCCACCTGTCAGCTCGATCCACTCTCTACAGTTCTTGTTAAAACCTGCCTCTCTTCCCTCACTCCTCTCATAACCAACATTATTCATCGCTCCCTAAGCTCTGGAATTGTCCCTTCAACCTTCAAAACTGCAATAGTTATACCTCTTCTGAAGAAACCTGGCCTAGACCCCACAAACTTCAATAACCTACGCCTTATTTCCAATCTATGCTTCATTGCCAAAATTCTTGAAAAATCTGTTGCCTCTCAACTTCACGACCACCTCATCACCAATAACATCTATGAACAATTTCAATCTGGCTTCCGTCCTCTCCACAGCACTGAAACAGCACTTCTCTAAATCACCAATGACCTTCTCATTGCTTCTGACTCTGGTTAATTGTCTATTCTCATTCTTCTCAATCTCACAGCAGCATTTGACACCATCTCCCATACCACTCTCCTCAGCAGACTGTCATCCATAGGTATCACTCACACCCCCTTGCCTGGTTCAACTCCTACATCTCTGGCCATACACATTTCATTCAACTGAAGTCATATAAATCCTATCTCTTTCCTGTTTCTGCTGGTGTGCCCCAGGGCTCTGTCCTGGGGCACCTTCTTTTCATCATTTACCTTCTCCCACTAGGTCACATTTTCCGTAAACACAACATTCATTTTTATTGTTACGCGGATGACACCCAGCTCTACCTCTCAACCAAGCCCTCAACTTCACTTCCATCCTCCTCCCTTACCCTCCGTCTCCAAGAAATCCATTCTTGGTTCAGTTCCAACTTTCTCAAACTGAACAGTTCTAAAACTGAAGTCCTCCTGGTAGGCACACCTCATATTCTCTCCAAATTTAACAGTTTCCCCATTTCTATTGATAACTCAGCAGTTACCCCTCTCCTCATATAAAGAGTCTGGGTGTCATCCTCGACAGCATTCTTTCTTTTCAATCTCACATCAACAATATTACCCGGTCTGCTTATTTTCACTTGCGTATCATCTCCCGCCTCCGTCCATCACTTACTCCCTCCACTGCTGCCATCCTTGTCCACAGCCTCGTCACTTCCATGATTGATTATTGCAACTCACTTCTCTTTGGTCTCCCCAGCAAATCCCTCCATAAACTGCAGCTTCTCCAGAATGCTGCAGCACATGTCATCACTAGGACTCCATCATCTCATCACATCATCCCCATCCTGCAACAACTTCATTGGCTGCCCATTAAACAGAGAATCACCTCCAAAATTCTGCTCATCACATTCAAAGCTCTCCATAACCTGGCTCCATCCTACATTTCTGATCTCATTCACATCATCACTCCTGTCCGTGCTCTTCGTTCATCTTCTGCTCCTCAACTCTCGGCTCCCTCCGCTCGCCTTGTTACCATGGGGAGTTGAGCATTCAGCCGCTCTGCTCCCCACCTCTGGAATTCTCCGCCCCCGATCTACGCACCACTCACTCTCTCGCACTTTATAAATCAAAAGTCAAAACCCACCTCTTCACACAAGCTTTTACCACATAGTTTTAAGACATTGTTTATTTTTTTTATTTTAGCATCCTAGTGTTTTTAAATATTTCTGTACTGTGTTTATCTTGTTTTATTATTTTTCCCCATTGTTGTAAAGTGTCATTGGGTGTCATGAAAGGTGCTGTTAAATAAAATAAAAATTATTATTATTATTATTATTATTATTATTATGTTTGGTTGCATTTGCCAGGAATCTGTCTTTGTGTTGAAGCAATCAAGAGGTCCATAATTCTGCTGTCTTCCTTTGTTAATCCTCCTGATATGCAGATGTTGCCCTAGGCAATGCAGACATCAGACTGTCACAGGGTGTGGACATCTCTGACTCTGAGAACCAGTGCTCTTGTTTGATGCTGTAGCAGTTGATGGGCTTCATGGGTCTGGACCCTCCCATTACGAGAGGACACCGAACACAGCTCAGCACATCAGCCAAAAACCTCTGCCTTTTGAGGAGATCATACCTGAGCCAAGCCAAGACAGCCTTGTGCACCCCCCTCTCAGCAAAGACTACAACTGTGTCCTTCTGCAGTACATTTGTGAGCCAAGTGATGTCCAGTTTCAGGAATTCATCCAATTTAAATGTATAAAGAGAAGCATCTTGAGAAGCAGTGCAAGACATGTTTTTCTGTAGTGATGGCCAGTTCTAGAGAATGAGTCAAGTTTGCCAAGGTTGATAAGCAGTTTGATGCATTAAGCTGTCCTTTCAGGAGCTCCACAGATAATGACGGACATGGAAACATAATGGGGGACACAAATAATGGGGGACATGGAAACATGGAAAACTAAAACAAATACTGAGGACACAAGGGAGAGGGGACATGGGACATGACAGCTACCACTCGTTTGTATTGTCCAATCCTAATAGATTCACTGATGACACATAGCAAAATGTGATTTTTTAGGATACAACCAAAACCAACACAACTCTCTCATTTCTGAACTCGGGATGCAGTTCAAGAAAGCATGTGGGCAATATGCAAAGGTTGTGTGTTCAGGAATGTTCCTTTAAAGCCAGAAAACTGGCTTTGGTCCAAAACTGTCACGCTGAGAGCAAGAGGTTTGGACCCAAAATGCAGAAGCCGAGACAACTCAGTCAGAAATGGTTGAATGAATGAAAGTCCTTTATAAGGATGATGGGTAAAAATCCAAAGGGGCAGGAAGTCAAACCGAAAATCCAGAGAAAACTGAACTACAAAAATAAAGCTCATTCATGAGCAAGAACCTGGAGTTCCTCAGGAGGACAGAACAACGCTGACACATACAATGGACCAACAAACACTGAGGGACAAGACAGGGTTTTAAACACAGAGGGAAGCAATCAGGTACAGGTGACAGGTGTGAGGAGTGAGGTCTGGAGGGAAGACAGGTGCCATCAATAAACTAAATGGGGGAAAGAACTAAGCAGAGGGGAGATAAACCATAACCTATAACACACTAAATAACTAAACCTAAAGCCTAAGGGCAAAGATAAACAACTAATGACGAGAGGGGTGAGAAGAACTAATGGAGTGACTAGGAGGAAACATGAGGGAAGCCTAGAGAGAGCTTGGGAACACAAGGAGACTCAGGAGGAGGACCTGGAGTGGGCTGGGGGAGCATAAGGACACACAGAGCACAAGGCGACGCATGAGGGGAACGCAGAACATGACAAAAACATAATGTGGAAAAGGGACGTCGTTCTTTGTCTTTTGAGAGTGAGGTTGTCAGGGTGGGGGATAAAGATCCGACTGACTTTCATCCTTGATGAAACTGCTGAGGTATTATTTATCTCTGACTGATGTGTGATATTCTCTAATCATGGGTGAGTGTAGGCAGCATGGTGGCTTTTTCCTGTTCAAGGAGGAGCATTCAGATAATAAAAACTGGTGAAAAGTCTATTTTTGTCCAACCAATAATCATCACCGGTCCAGATTAGCAGCAGAGACTGTTTAATACACAATGACATTACTGACAAAAGGACCGAAGAAGGTACACCCAAACCTGTTTAATCATTTTAATCAAATGATTTAAACAAATTAATTTACTTCCATTCGTGTGACAAAGTTCAGCTGATTGTCTCATTACAAGCACAGGAGGCTGAAAAATGTCCTTTCAACCCCCCAAAGATCCTAAATAAAGCAAACAAGTGTGTAGAACACACACACACACACACACACACACACACACACACACACACACACACACACACACACACCAGAAAGACAAGTCAGAAAGAAAACTGTCTGCTGTAACCCAAGACTCTAGGTGTTTTTATAGAACCATAGCATTTTCAAAACAGGGAGGATTTTGGCATTTATAGTAGCAAAGCTGAAGCTAAAATTTACTGCCATCAGACCACGTTTTGCTAAAAGCGCATGAAAAACCTCTGTTAGCTTGAGTTAGCATGTGGTCTGAGACGCTGCTAGTTTTTTAACAGTCCATGTTATAGCTACACAGATGACCAGCATGACTACAGAAGCCAAGCGAGCACACGGGTAAGCTACCCCGGAGCCCCTTCTTATTTTCTTGGGTTAGCTAAGTTAGCTAGTAGCTACAATGATTGATTTCTTCCAACCAGCTCCCCCTCTTTTCCATTTTTGGATTGTCTGGGAGTGACAAGATGTGTGACACGTGAACCTCACATTTTAAATCAAAACCTAATTTGAGTCTATGAACATTATTTGTCCAGTGTAGATGCCGACACTTAACCCGCCTTGCCTGCTGGCGGTGGTTAATTGACCGGTGACGCCTGTGCGCGGCAGTCTTGCTTCAGTCAGAGCCTACGACTGCTGCTTTTGTCCGTTGGAGTGACGAGGGATGTTTCTCGGTTGGCCAGGGAACATCTCGGGAGTCCCCCAGAGGAGCAGGCCCATGTCGCTCGGGAGACGGTGGTCTGGGCCTCTCTGCTTAGGACCCCACGACCCGATCCTGGATAACCAGATGAAATCGAAGGATGGATGGGGATAATTTAAGTCAGGGCTTTCCAATTCCAGGCCTCGATGACTGGTATCCAGCACATTTTGGTTTCAACTGTTTAAACACACCTAATTTCAGTCAATAGATGTTGGACCAGAGAAACCACCAACGTGCTGGATGCCAGCCGCCGAGGCCCGGAATTGAATAGCCCTGATTTACGCACTTGATGCAATTCAGATAACAGATGTTTAGTATGTCCATCCAGTCAAAACTACTCTGTTATTCCAGTTTTAAACAGAAAACTGAACGATCTGAAGTCTATTTAGGGAAGCAGACTGGTTCAACTGCTAAGCTAGCAGTAAATGACAATATTCTGACATCTTCATCCTGCCGGTTTGTTTCTTTTTATTGTTTTTTTTTTTTTTCGTAGGTGTTTTGTGACATGAAGACCAGAGGTGGAGGCTGGACGGTGGTGCAGCATCGAAGAAATGGCTCTGTTGATTTCCATCGTGGTTGGAATGACTACAAAACGGTACGCAGCTTCAGGCCGCACCAACACAAGTGGGTCACATGGACCGGTACGGAGAGGCTGCAGGAGGTTTCAATAATCATCCATCGAGGGGTTGACATGAAAAGTCATGGGAGACTGCCTGGCCTATGATCCCAGGTGACCTGTGGTTGTTGTATTTGGCTGCCCTCAGACCCCCCACCCCCACCCCAAACCTTGTTATTGCACCTGCTCTCCCTACCTCTCTCTATCAAACCGCCTAACATTAAAGTTCATGCACAAACACACAAGTGTGTTGCACTCCCTAAACATTATAAAATACACAAGAGGCTGCAGAGTTTTTCTGGTGTTTTGTTTTGTTTGGAGTTGGAATTCTGCTTCAAGACATGTCGGGACAGGCTTTTCTTTTTCAGAAGAAACAACATTGTGGTTGTTCAATAGAGCGAAAACTCCAAGTATGCAACCCTTTCTTATTGCTAAATTACAAACAGAATGAGTAATGAAGGTTTGGTTTTGTCATTCCTGTAGTATGTTCATGTTTCTCACCCACACTAACAAATCACAGCCACTGCTTTGTTAGGAAATAAAACCCTAAGAGGACAGTGGCTGCAAACAGAAACAGAAAGACAAAAAATAGCTTGAAATCCGGTTTCAAGGACAATATTTTTCCAAGAGGATGATAAACATTTGGCTCCAGCAGAGGCGTGGGAGCACTGGGGCTCTGTAGATGGCAGATAGCGTATGCACTAAAATGCTTTGCTGCTGCTGCTGTTCACACTCTGGATTCTCACAAACTGTGGTCAGACTTGATCAAACGGGTTTCTGGTTCATTAAATGCTCCAAAGCTCTTACCGTATCTTTTCTCTGACTCAAGAGCAATAACAAAAAGCATTTCTGACAGCTAAACTTACAGTTTGGGGAATGTCTAGCTCCAGGATTTTATTAGCTTCAGATGTAGATTCGGATTTTCACTTTTCAGCCTTGGATGTTCTACTTATTGACATTTTTATTTATTGGCTTTGATTACTGTTAGCAGTGAAAACTTCAACTACTCGTCTTCTGTTTGGCCTTGTCCATCATTGAAGTTGTCATGAAGAAACATTGTTTACAACATTCCTTCAGTTTATTTCTGTTTTGCAGGAATTCATCTGTGCAGTCCTTTAGATCTGAGTCCATTAGAGTTCATGTTTGGACTTTAACTTTGCAACATCATCATTCCATTATAAGCAGTCAGGTATAAAAACTCCAGCTGGACATGATGTTAAAACACACATCAACACCGCATTAGAGCAGGAGGAGGGAGACTAGGGGTCTAATCACACTTCTGTTCTCAATTAGCTGTCCGAGACTGGAGGCTGGGAGTGGGAGCTGGTCGTTTGGTTGGGGTCTGAGGTGGTCTGAGGTGGTGTGTCGCTATACTCAGCAATGAACAGGGGTACCTGCTCATCATTACTTCAGCAGTAGAGGGCTAGATGTGGTGTCCAGGTTGTGCCCTCTGTGCAGCAGTAACGGGACCAGAGTTAGTAGGGTGTGTATGGGGAGAGTGAGTGTGTGTATGATGTACTTTTTTGTAAGTCTTTAGGTCATATGTGTGAGCATGAGGGAGGGCTGGTGCTACTGTGGTTGTGTGTGAATGTATATGTCAGGTGCGTTCTTGGACTCGTCCCCTTTCCTGGGGCATCTTTTGGTGTTACAACATCTTTGTCTTCCTTTCTCCCTGCCACTTTTTCTGCCTGTGGTTGGTGCCCCGGTCTGCCTGCATATCTACAGCTCCCGTTTCAGGTGCAGGTTTTTTTTGGGGGGGATCTGTTGGGCCCAGAGGCTCCCGGTGGCTGCCTGGTGGGGTCTGGATCCCTGGGCTCTGCCAGGTCCCCGGCGTGGTTGATCGCCCTTGGGTCCCGGGCCGCTGTGTTCCGAACTTGGCCAGCTTGGGGGTGGGTGGCTGCCGGTGGACCTAGGGGCTTGCCGTAGTTAACTTGCAACTGCTGGTTGCAACACCCAGGGTAATCCTATACTTACAGTAAATAACTGTTATTTTAAGTCTAAAAGATTTGTTGTAATAGCACAGCTATGCCTTTAGTGTGAACTGCCTCTTTGTAGTGAACAGTGGAGCGGCACAGCAGCCCCATTCCTTGGACCACCCTCCTCACTTATGGTGCCACCATGACAACAACAAATAACTGTACCTTTGCAACACTGAACAAATCAAAAACTAACAACAACACAACCCTCACAATAAACATGCATTAACACAACAAAATAACTAAGAAGATGACATCCCACAGTGCACCTTGCCCACTGCTGCTTTCACATGGGCTGGATTATTTTTTAATCTATAAATTGCAGTTTTAAATTGACTAAACTCTGGTCATTCGCCTAAGGCTTCAAACGTGGTGGAAAACTTGCTTGTTAGAACTTCAGTGCAGCTGAGTTCTTCCTCTTTGTTTTCTGCTTCTCTGTTCTGTCTCTAAAGTGTCAGAGCTCCAATAGCACCCGGTCAAAACTGGTTTTTGGTGGGTCAACCAGGCAAGCTTTATGAAGTACAATAAGGCCACTGAAAGGTACTATTTAGTCAAATTTATGTAATTAAGAATAGCACGTTTAAGTAATCTGAACTCAGTTTGTTTAAGTAGAGTATTGATTGGACTTTAACACAATTACAATAAGAAAAGACACGAAACAGCTCAGCTAACTCAGGATTAACAAGTGATGTTAACAGTTTAGAAACTTTTAAGTAATGTGAAAAAGATCATTTGAATTTAATCAAAATCTGGGTTTACAGTTTGGAAACGAAGTAATTATAGATATCTGGAATCCTTGCATTTTTTTTTACTGTGTTGCTGTGATATTACAGACCTTGTTGTGATATAGCAGCAGGTGTTAGATTGCAGGGTTTTACTGTAAAATAAGAGATAAATGTTGTGAAATCAAAGGATACTGTAGTTCTTATTCATTGGGATATTACAGGAAAAGTTTATTACAAGTTACTGTAAAATAATCCTGTCTCATTATGGAATGCTGGTAAATTTGAACAGTGTGCGGTCAAAATCATGATCATACAGCATATTTAGATTGAAATAAAAACTAAAATAAAAATATAAAAAAGAATGGAAAAAATATGTAAAAATAAAGAAAATAAATAAGACACACGGGGTAGGTGGTAGATGAAACAGCTGGAACTAATTAAGGTCAGTGCGCGCGTCGCTCCACGTCTCAGAACGTCACCGCGCATTTCCTGCCTGAAATGTTTTATGTAGGACATGTCAGGAGAGAGAACTGTTTGTGAAAGTTCCTAGAGGAAGCACTAACGTGGTGATCCTCCGAAGCGGTAAATGACACTCATCTAAAGACTGGAAAGGCAGCCGGTAAGACGCAGATTTGTAACGCGTGTGCGCATGCCGATCAGCTGATGTGTGATGTTAAGCGCAGCTCGGAGCTGTGGTCTCCGGTGCGCATCATAAATGTTTGTGTCGGGTGTTTAGAAGTCAGTTTGATGTTTGATTGTTAATAAGTTACTTCAAACCTGCTCATTATTTGATGTTGTTATGTAAGAGTGAAACAAATAGCTGAAGTGATGAATTTAAGTGAGTTTGGGTCCGAATGAATTAATATATCCGAATGAATTAATGATATATCCGAATGAATTAATGATATATATATATATATATATATATATATATATATATATATATATATATATATGTATATATATATATATATGTATATATATATATATATATATATATTCGTGCTAACATTTATAAATGAATATCACATTGAAATCACGCATTTTATGAATGGCTGTTTATAATGAAATGTTACACAATTTACACTGTTTCTTAGCACACACAATGTTTTTGTTTAAGGTTTTTCACCTGCTCGTAGGCTTTGCCTTGCTTCGTGCTTCGTCATCCCCTATTTCCGTCTTGGATAATATGAAACGGAAGTGAAATAAAGGAAAATGAAAAGTGAAGCCATGAAGTCCTGAGTGGAATCCTGCGTATTTCTCCAGTAGATGATCCCTGTTAAGTGGGGATTGTGTCACCTAACAGAGGAACTTAACAGTGAAAAACCGGTCTCTACGCATCAACAAAGAAGAATCGAAATGGATGAGTCAGAGAAATCCGTTGAACAACTGAAGGCCGAGAGAACATCAGCAAAAAGATCTTTCTCACGTTTGGTTAATACCATAACCAGAACATACAAGGATATGTCTGAGGAAGAGCTCAAAGCCAGCTTCAGTAAGCTTAGCTTGCAGGCTGAGAAAGTAATGACTGCAAATGATGAAGTGGAGGCGGGACTCATCGCAAAGTTGGAGGCTGAGCTGGACTCTGAAGGGGATGTAGCGTTAACAGAACAACAAAAGGCCGACATAGAAAAAACTGCAGAGGAATGCGAGTCAAAGCTTACAGAAAGTAAAGCCCTTCTTCTAAATGCTTTGTGGGATAATTTTGGATACACTGAATTGACTACAGCATTCCAAATAGCAGAAACCGAGTGTGAACGTGCCGCCGCTGTGAGTCCAGATAGCAGCCAGGAGGCATATAACCTCATTCTCACTCACTTACAAGATGTGGCACGATCTGGAAAAGAATTATATGCCCAGTGGAAGCGGTGGATTCCATCGCATGACCAAGAAGAATTTCAGGGTCGGTTCAAAGCTCTTGAACTAACAATCCCAAGGCTAATCTCCAGAAAGGCTGACTTCATAAAAAGAAGGGATTCAGAAGAAAGGGTGATGACTTTACCCACACATCTTACAACACCTGCTATTAAACTAAAGCCAGTGGCTCTGCCTAAGTTTGGAGGAAATAAACGAGACTTTCACAGATGGAGGAAGGAGTGGGAAGCCCTTCAAAAGCAGGGTGAACCAACTGGTTCTCAGGAGGTGAAGAAGCTTCAGTTACTGGACAGTCTTGATGAGAAAATAACAAGAAACCTTCATCTTAACACTTATCACACTGTAGAAGAAATCCTTCGTGTTTTGGAGAACCGTTTCGGCAACCAAACGGTTATCGCTATTG